ATATAAATAAAAGAGTATTAATTTTAAAACTTTTTTAAAAATTAAATTAAGAATTATATTTCTCTTTAGAATTCTTTTTAATAATATTTATATTATAATCTTTCTTATTTTATTTATAATAATTATATTAATATATAAATAAAAATCTATAAATTAAATTTATGAAATTAGATTTTTCTAAGTTAAATAAAATTTTAGCTTTAGTTCTAAATTAAATCGAACTTTAATCGCTTATTATATATTTTTAATTTACTTCTATTACTATAAAATTAATAAAAAAGATAAAAGTTTTAACTCTAAATTAAATTAAACTCTATATACTTTCTATATAATAAATAGTTTACTTCTATTACTATAGATCGCTAATTAATTATATTCTTATTTAAAAAAAAAGTATTTATTTAATAATCTTATTTTTAATATATCTCGCTAATTAAATAGATTATTTTCTTAATAAATTATCTAGAATTATAATTAATAGATTAATCTTATTAATAATTTAATTTAGAGTTATATATAATTAATTATAGATAAAGATCTCGAGATATAAATATAAATTAATCTATTATAATAATTAACTTTAGAATTTATTAATCGTTATATTAAAGATTAATTAAATTAAGAATTAAATATATTAAAAGAGAGTATATAAATTATTCGAATTAGACGGAGTTAAAAAAATACGTAATATATAATATTATTTATCGTTATATTTACTCTTAAGAATATAATAATTAAATATCTTAGATTTAATATATTTAATTTATAGATATATCTTATTATATAGATTTATATACTACTTTAAATTTCTTAATAATATTATTATATAATTCTATTTTAACTTTAAATAATAAAATAAAAATGAATTTAATTTAAAGATATTTATTATTTTAGTAAATAGAAAATTCTTTCGAATATCTTAAAGTATATAATCGATAGCCTCGATATCGTAATAATTTTATATAGAGATCTTATCTTAGAAAATAAGCTTAATTACCTTTAATAATTAAGCTAAATTAAATTTTATCGATATATTATAATTAGATTAAATAATAATATTAAAGAAAGATCTTAAAGCGAGAATAAGTAATAATATTATTTTAAAGAAGAATAAAGATAATATTAGATAAAGTTATAATAATAACTATTTTAAAGTTATATTATATTCTTTATAATATAATATTTTAAAGTATAATCTTATTAATATCTTTATAATTATTAAAAAAAAGAATTAACTATTAAAATAAGAGATCGCGTTTTAAATAGTATTAGCTATAGTAATTTAATTATTATTAAAATTTATTTATATCTAATTCTAGATATTAATTTAATAACTATATACTTCGCGTAGAAGTCGATTTTAATTATTAATATAATACTATTTATAATCTCGCTAAATCGCGAATAGATTAAAATTAATAATAAGATTAATATTCTTTATAGAGCTAGTATTATTTTTCTTTAAATAAATTTAAATTAAATAAAGATAGAAATCTTTAATAACGATTTATTTATATTATATATTATTTAATAAAGAAAAAATATAATATTAAGTCTAAAGAATATAAATAAAATTATTAAATAATCTAAATAAAGAAAAATATATATTAGTTAAGAAATATATATAAAGTATAAAAGAAGAATTAAATTATTTATAAGTAAAAAAAGAAAAAATATATCTAGCGCGAAAAGTTTTAGTAATTAAAAAAAGAATATTATATTAAAAAAAGTTATAATATTTTAAAATTATTATTAATATAAAAATCTTCTTATTCTATAACTTAAAGTACTTTAATTTATAAAAGAAATTATTAAAAAAAAATATATCTAACGCGAAAAGTTTTAATATATAAAAAAAGAAATATTATATTAAAAAAAGTTATAATATTTTAATATTACCGTTAACGCGATAAGCTATTTATATTACGCTTAAAATATTTCTACTTAATAAAAAAGAATTATTTATATATCTTAATTTATAATTATTCTATAAATTTAGAGAATTATCGAGTTTATATTATAATAAAATTATTATAAAAAGACTCTATAAATAATATTCTCTCTATTAAATTATTACTTTATTTAATACTTAATTTTATTTAATATTATTATAAAGTAAATCTCTCGCTATATAAATATTATAATAAAAAAAAAGAATATTATTATTTATTATATATAAGTCTTTAAAAAATATAGAATTTAATATATTTAGAAGAAGATATCGTAGATAGAAGAGCTTTTTAGCGTTTAGATTAATATAATATATTCTTATAATAATATCTCTATATCTCTAATATAAACTTTATTTAAATATATCTTACTTATTCTTTTCTAGATATATTACTTCGATAGATTAATATAGAAAAGATCTTCTACTTATCTTCGCTATTAATATTATTAATTTAATTAAAAAAAGATTATTAACTTAATCTAATATTTATATACTATATTAATTATTTAATTTAGATTATTATTATTATTAAATATTATATTATATTAATTTAAGAGATAAATAAATAATTATTTAATAGAAGAATTATAATTATATAATTTAAAGTTAAAAATTCTTTAATAAACTTTTATAAAGCTTATTTATTATATATCTTAATACTCTTAAATCTTATTTATCTAATTTAAACTTATATCGTTCTAATTTATATTATTCTTATACTCTATTTAAAAATTAATTTAATCGTTATTCTTATAAATATATTTAAAAATATATTTATAAATTTTAATATTAATATAAATCTTTATATTAATATAAGTATTATACTTAATTGATAAAAAAAAACTATAAAATATTATTTAATAATTCTATTTAATTTATTATCTAATATCTTAATAGACTTATATTAATAATATATAAGATATTTAAAATTTAATTTAAAGATAATATAATTATTAAAGTTCTTCGAAAATCGCTTATTATATATATTCTTATCTAAATTTTAATAAGATAAAATAATATTTATTTTACTAATAATATACTAATTATAATTCTTATAAAGTATATATCTAATAACGATTATATAGAGATTAGAAAATAGACTTTAATTAGAGATCTTAACATTAATAGCGGTATTTATCTCAACGGCGCTAAAAAATCGATTTTTAGAATATAATATAATGAGGATGTGGGTATATAATAAACCTCGTTTTTAAAATTCTATAATATAGATATAGATGAGAACTCGATCTATTACTCATAAAGTTAGTTAGAGTTAAAATTAATCGATATTTTAATTAATTATACTTCGCTTTTATAAAAGTAAAGAATTTTTTTAGATAATATATAGAATTAATTAATAGAAATTATAATATATAATAAACTAAATTATATTAGAAGTATCTCTAGAAATTATAATCTATATTAATCGTTTAACTAATATATCGTCTAAGAGACTACTTTATTAAATAAGAAAGAGAGAAAGTTATTATATTATAATAAGAAGTAAGAAGAATAGAAGTATATCTAATATCTTCTTCTTTAGAATATTATTTATAAGAGTTTTTAGCTTTAATCTAAATACTCTAATAATTAAATTAAGTTAATTAGTAGCGTATTTATTAAATAAAAGATTTTCAATAATCTCGATCTATTTTAAATTATAAATAAAAGTTATAAAGAGATTTAATTAATTAAATTTAATAAATAGAGTAATAATATTCTAATAGAGTTATTTTATAAATTATAAATCTTCTTAATAGAAGAAAAGGAGAACGATATATTATTTATTAATCTAATTATTTATAATAACTCTATTAATATAAGTATTAACGATTACTTAATAGATATTAGCTTAAATAATCTTCTAATTTATCTTTAATTAATAGAGTTTATTACTTTTAATAACTATATAGATATTATAGATAAAATATTATAATAATTTATTATAATAAAGAAAGCGATTAAATTTATTAAAATAATTTTATATTATATATCTATAAAAAGTTAATAATTAATAAAATAAAATAAATAAATAATATAGATCTATAATATAAAATAAGCGTTATTTATTTAAAATTATCTTATTTAATAGTTTCTTTAACTTATAAAATAATTTTATTATTTCTACTTCGCTAGATAAAAAAACTTCTATTTAATATATTATCTATATTAGATATTAGTATATATAATAGAATAAGATAGAGCTAAACTAGAAAATCTTGAATTTGTATATATAGCTAATTATTAATTCGTTAGGTCTACGCTTTTTAATTAGACACCGCGAGTAAACAAATTAGCATTCGCAACTATTAAAAAAATAGGTGTACATTATTAACATATAGAAAAACTTTTTTATTTTCTATTAACTTTTTAAGATTTTAAATTTTAAATTTTAAAGCGCAGTCAGCGCTTTCCGAATTTTTAAGAATTTTAAAATTTGGTCTTATAATTATTAAAGCGTAAGGAATTCAAATATCGCTCACCAGAGTTCGCTCGACAGCCGAACAGCCCTGATAAAAAAAAATAGATACACATTATTTGATTTTAGAATAACTTTTTTGTTTTCTATTAAAATTTTAAAATTTTTTGTTTAAACTATAGAGTATAATGTGGGCTTTTAGAAAAAAAAAGAATTATTAAATTTAGTCTTATAGATATTTAAAGGTAAGGAATTCAGATATCGCTCACCAAAGATCGCTCACCAAAATTTACTCGACAGCCCCGATCAAAAAAAAATGATTATGAATTTAATTCATAGGTACTGGCCGGAAAGGTATGGTATATCCCATGGGATATTCCATACCAAGTGATACCATACCGTACCCGGGTATGGTATGGGTAGGGTCGGATACCATTCCATTTTTCTGGTATGGGTTCGGGATCTTGGCGGGATATACCACGGTATAATATATCTGTGGTATCATACCATGGAATGGTATATGTATGGGATATCCCGTTGGGATTTCTATATTTAGAAGTATAAAGTAGCTATTCTAATCATCATTCTGGTCAACGGCTAATCGTATCTACCCCCATTCGATATACTACCATGGCTGGCACTACCATGGCTACCACTACCATGGCTACCACTACCATGGCTACCACTACCATGGCTGGCACTACCATGGCTACCACTACCATGGCTGGCACTACCATGGCTGGCACTACCATGGCTGGCACTACCATGGCTGGCACTACCATGTCTACCACTACCATGGCTGCTACTATCATGGCTGCCACTACCATGACTATCACTCACTATCATGACTATCACTACCATAGCTACTGTCGAAATGTGGCCCCCGCGCATCCCAGCCACCGTGTTCTTTGTATTTAGGACCTGGCCCCGGAGAGGTTTTGGAGAATCAATCCGTCCGTTCTACACATCACATACCTGATATTTTAACAGCTACCACTACCATGGCTATCACTATTTATTATTCAAATAGCCTACTATCATATGGTAGCTATGATAGTGGTAGTCATGGTAGTGGTAGTCATGGTAGTGCCAGCCATGGTAGTGCCAGCCATGGTTGGCCAGAATGATGACTAGAATAGCTACTTATACTTCTAAATATAGAAATCCCAACGGGATATCCCATACATATACCATTCCATGGTATGATACCACAGATATACCATACCGTGGTATATCCCGCCAAGATCCCATATCATACCAGGTATGGGATCATGCAAATATCAATATCCCATACCATACCAGACTATGGTATGGCAGGTCAATATCCCATACCATACCATACCTTTCCGGCCAGTATAATCATAGGCCTTTACTCGTTATTATATTATAACTATTTATTAAAAAAAAAAAAAGAAGAAAAAAAAAAGATATATAGATTAAATGCTAATATAAAATACTAAATCTTTTATTACTTTAAATCTTTATTAATATACGAGTAAAGGCCTATGAATTAAATTCATGGGCTATCGAGTAAGTAGGTGAGCGATCTTTGGTGAGCGAACTTTAGTGAGCGATATTTGAATTCCTTGCGCTTTGATAATTATAGGACTAAATTTCAAAATTCTTAAAAATTCGGAAAGCACAAACAGCGTTTCAAAATTTAAAAAAAAAATCTCAAAATTTTAATAGAAAACAAAAAAGTTATTCTATGTGTTAATAATGTACACCTATTTTTTTGATAAGGGAGGCGTAGGTGGGCGAGATTTTGATGGTTACGGACGCTAATTTATTTATCCGCGATGAGTTAGCCGGTCTAGCCAAAAAGCGTAGAGGACCCGAATTGATGATTGGCTGCACATATAAGTTCAAGGTTTTCAAGCTCAGCCCTACCTTATTCTATTATATATACTAATTTCTAGTCTTAGATATATCTAATAAATTATCGATATTACTCTTCTAGATAATAGCGACTTTATCTAAAATAGAATAATTATAAATATATAAATTATAATATTATAGATTTTTATAAAGTAGCTTATAATCTCTTATATTTAAATTAACTTTTAACTTTTTAAGTATCGATTTAAAAATATAAAATATAAAGATTAATACTTTTAAGAATTATAGCTATTTTATAATAAAGCGTCTAATTAATATAATTATAATAATTATATTTAATAAAGTTAATATAGAAAATACGATTAAAAGAATATTATATTATATTATAAATTAATCTTAAATACTATTTATAATATAGATTTAATTAAAAATTAATTTTTTGCTCTTTAAAGGCGCTAAGATAAATATATAAATAGTAATTATTTTTTAGATTTTATATATATAAAGAATAATTAAATAATTAATAATAATTTATTATAAGATTATAAAGATTATATTATTATACTAAACGCTATAGCGATAAAATTCTTTATAATTATTAATAAAATTTAAGATCTCTAATATTAAAGAATAAAGAATTTAATTAATAATATACTCGCTAAGATTAATTAAATTATTTATACTTATTTTAATATCTCTATAATTTTATTCTATATTATCTACTTCTTAATTAATATCTATTTTAAATATATTAACTTTAATCTTTTCGCTATTATAATATTACTTAATTATCTTATTAATATATATAAAAGAATAAGATAGAGCTAAGCTTAAAAATCTTGAATTTATATATATAATTAATTATAAATTTAAGTTCGCTACGCTCTTTAGTTAGATCGACTAAATTATCGCGAATAAATAAATTAGCATTCGCAACTATTAAAATCTCTTACTCTACTTTTAACCCTTTAATAACTTTACTATTTTCTATTAAAATTTGAAGATTTTTTTTTTAAATTATAGAGCGAAGATTGCGCTTTTAAATGATCTAAAAACTTTAAAAATTGATCTTATATTTATTAAAGGGTAAGGATCTCAAATATCGTTTATCAAAGTTCGCTTATCAAAGTTCGCTCGATAGCCGGACAGCCTTAATCAAGTATACATTATTTGATTTTAGAATAACCTTTTTATTTTCTATTGAATTTTTAAGATTTTTGATTTTAATTATAGATCGTAATGTGAGCTTTTAGATAAAAAAGGAAGTACTAAACTTAGTTTAATAGATATTTAAAGATAAGAAATTTAGATATCGCTTATTAAAGATCGCTTATCAAAATTTACTCGACAGTCCCGATTAAAAAAAAAATGATTATGAATTTAATTCATAGATAATAGACCTTTACTCGTCTTTCTATAATATTATATTATAACTATTATAAATCTAATTTATAGAATTTAAATTATATTATATAGACTTTATAATATATAAATAACGCGTAATATAATTAATAAGTTTTATTAAAAATTAAATAAAATTTAAATAAGAGTTAAAAGATAGATTAAAAGAATATAGACTATCGAAAGAGTTATTATTAAAGAAATCTATTAATAAATCTTATAATAAAGAATCTTTAATAGCGTTTTTCTCTTATTTAAAAGCTTCTTTTTAATAATATTTAAAATTTAATACGTATTAAAAGATTTTAAAATAGAATAATAAATAACGAATAGAGAAGAAAAACGCGTTTTAAAAGATAGTATCGCTAGATTAAAAGATATTATCGCTAGCTTAAAAGAAATCTATAGAGAAGAATATATTTATTTAAACTCTTTTTAAAGGTTTTTTAACGCGTTTATAAGTAGTAGTAGATAGCTATTAAACTCGCTTATAGTCTTAATTATTAATAATAGCGAATTTATTAAAAGATAATTTAAGAGATATTAATAGAGGCTTTAAGAGATAAGTAAAAGAAGTATATATATCTAAAATATTAAGTAATCTTTAAATAAGAGATATCGAAGATAATTATATTTATATTAATAAAATTAATAGAATTAATAAAGTAATAAAAGAATAATAATTATATAAATAGATAAAAGAATTATTATTTAATCTTAAACGCGTTTAATATAATTATAATATTTAAATATTAATTTAATCTATTAATAGTAGATTAAACTTTATAATTTTTATAGCGTTAGAAAGTATAAAGCGAGCTTTATAATTTAAGAAATTATAAAGTAATTATATCTATCGTAAGTTAAGTACTTTAAAATATAAAACTTCTATATATAAATTTTTAATAAGAAAATATAAGAGGGCTATTAGATTAACTTAGTCGGTCTAGTTAAAAAGCGTAGAGAATTTAAATTTATAATTAACTATATATATAAATTTAAGATTTTATAGCTTAGCTCTATCTTATTCTTTTATTTATATTAATATAATAAAATAAGATAGAATTAAGCTTAAAAATCGTAAATTTATATATATAGCTAATTATAAATTTAGAGTTACTACTATACGCGGGTTTTAGAATTCGTCGTATACTTTAACGCTAAGTCGCTTCTCTAAATCTAATTAGAGTATACGACGAATTCTAAAACTCGCGTGCTACGCTCTTTAATTAGATCGGCTAAGTTATCGCGAATAAATAAACTAACGTTCGCAATTATTAATTATTAAAAAAATAGATATACGTTATTAATATATAGAATAACTTTTTTATTTTTTATTAAAATTTTAAGATTTTTTTTTTAAATTATAGAACGAAATATAAGCTTTTAGATAAAAAAAGAATTTCTTAATTAAGTTCTATAATTATTAAAGCGCAAGGAATTCAATTATCGCTTATCAAAGTTCGCTCGACAATCGAATAGCTCTAATTAGATATATAATATTTAATTTTAAAATAACTTTTTTATTCTCTATTAAAATTTTAAGACTTTTTTTTTATATTATAGAACGAAGCATAAGCTTTCAGATAAGAAAAGAATTATTAAAATTAGTCTTGTAGATATTTAAAGGTAACGAATTTAAATATCGTCTATTAAAAGTTCGCTTATTAAATTTACTCGAAGCTCTAATTAAAAAATATGATTATAAATTTAATTTATAGATCTTTACTCGTTTATTATATAAATTTATAAATATTCTAAATTATTATTAATATTATCTAATTTAATTTATATTAATAATAAAAAGAATATTCTTATAAGAAAATCTACTTTTAAATTAAGCTTATTATACTCTTATTTATTTTTATTAAATAAAGAAGAGAGATAAATCTATATTATAAGTTATTTTCTAATTTTTCTAATTTTTTTTATATCATTTATAGTAATTTATACGTCTTTATTATAAACTCTCTAAATATTTTTCTAATAATTCTCTTAATTAAGTTATTTTTAAAGTTTTTAGTAATTTTATATTTCTTCTATATTTCTTTTAAAAGCGTTATTCTTTAACTTCTTTTTAGCGATTTATAATACTTTTATATTTTTTAATATTTTAATATAAAGTTTAATTTAAACTATAACGATATTTTAATAATCGAAATAAACTTTTTAATAGTTATTTAAATAGAATTAATAATAATAGTTACTTAATAATCGATATAGTTATTAATAAAAAATTTATTTTTTCTTAAGAGATTAATTATATACTTTTTCAATATTATAATTTTAATAAATATCTCTCTTAAAATTTTAAAATTTAGCTTATTAAAATTTTAATATATTATTAATATTATTATTATTATAATTAGCTCTAACTTTATAAGAATTAAAAATAATTAAATTTATCTTAAAAATCGTTTTTGATATTATAACTAATATCATTTATTATAAATATTAAAATAACGAATAGTAGATTTATTATTATTTAATAATTATCTTTATATATTATTATTTTTATTAATAGTATTTATTTTATAATAAACTCTTTTATTAAAAATATTAATTTCTCTACTCTCTTATTAATATAAGCTTTTAATCTCTTTTATATTATATAATAAAGATTATAATTACTTAATATAATCTATTTATTATTTTTAGATTTATAAATATCTTATATAATTTATTAAGTTTATTTATTAATTAATTATTAAGATTATAGATATTATATATATATAAAATTCTATTATTTTTAAATTTAATATTAAGAGTATAGAGATTTAATAAATTATAGAATAAATATTATTATAATAGAGATAAATTAAATTAAATCTATTTTTAAAAAAGTAATAGAATATATTAATATTAATATTTCTTTAAGACTTTTAAATTATTAT